CCCCCCTCACCATCACCACCACACCAGGCAGTGATCCCCTCCAGTAAAGGGTCTGGGTGTTACTCTTTTTTGTACCTCTAGATCTGTGCTGTCTGATACGGCAACTGACAGCCACGTGTGCCTCCTGAGGACTTGAAATGTGGCTGGTCCAAATCAAGACGTACTCTTAAGTGTAAAGTACACACCGGCTTTGGAAGACTGAGTATGAAAAGAAAGAATGTAAACGGTCTTATTAATAATTTATGATTACATGTTGAAATGATAACTCTTGGATAAATTGGGTTATAGGAAATATGTTATTTAAATTAATTTCACCTGGGGGGTTTTTTCCACTTTTTTTTTTTTTTTTAACGAGGCTACTAAGAAATCATAAGAAATGGCGCCTATGGCTCAGATTAGATTTCAGGTGGACAGCGCAGCCTTACACTTTGCCAGGCTGGCGCCTTGTGGCGGGTGCCTATGGAAAGTTGAATGAATGACCAGATGCTTGAGAACAGGAGAATCACAATGTCCCTGAGTCCCCTCTGGCTCGATCCCTGGCATTCTCAGACTGTGCAGAGAGGCTGGTCCCTTGCGTGACAGCTGACACCCTTCCTTTCCTCCGTTCTCCTTCTGCCCCAGAGGGAGTGAGGGAGTCGGCCTCACGAACCAGTGCCCGTGGAGGGAGGCCTGGGCATCTGCCGGGCCAGGCTCCCCCTGAGCAGGACCTCACAGAAAGCGTCACTTTGACCAGGGAAAGGATGTCCTTTGGAACAGCTCAAGCCCCTTGGAGTCTAGTGAGCACCCTCCGCTCCCTCCCAGCCGATGTGTGTGACCCTCCCACCCTGCTGCCACTGTCCCTGTATGTTCATCCAAAGCCCATGGGAGGTCAGGGCCACCCTGCAGGGGATTGTGAGCCAGCCGCTCTGCCTGCCCAAGGCCTCACTGAAGGATGCAAAGGGTGCTCGGCCCCGGGCACAGCGCCCAATGCCCAGGCCCTGCACACCACTGCGCCTGATGGTACCCGCTTTGATGCCTTGCAAAAGGTTAACTTTGAAGCTGCCAGTCAGGCAGCTGCGCCAGGCAGGGCTTGAAAAAACAGCTCTGAGGCCTGTAGCCCGCAGCATGCTGGGGAGCGACCCCCGAGCAGATGGTCTGAATTGTCTAGGAATTCCCCTCTCTTTCCAAAGATGTATGGTAACCTTACCCATTTGGAACCTTTGGGAAGAAATATATTCCACTTAGGGTTTCACGTAACTGAATCTTACTCCTTTAGGCACAATGCTTAAACATATTTTAATGGTTTTATGTGGGAAATGTTTACCGACGGCATTTATCCTTTACTCTGTGACAAACGGTGACCATCGGGTATGAGGCTGGACCGTTGAATGGCCCTCAGGTGCTATTGAGCATGGAGGACTGTCCCTCCACCGCTGTCCCCAGTGGCCACACTTTCTAGGTCTTTCGTCTGTTTTTCACAGGTTTTCCTTCTCTTGCTCTTCATCAGCTAGTGTTTCTGGCTGCATCAGAGCAGGTGCCCACCCCCTATCCTTCCTGACCTCATGTTTCCCGGGCTGTTCTGGTCCCCTTTGAAATGACTCTATTAATAAAGCTGAGCTGGAAAAGCCAAGCTTATTCAAGTAGATGTAAGATAAGGGCTAAGGTTTGGACCAGGTCTTACCTCTGACCCCTGGGTGGTCTTTGGCACCGGGCTTTGGGGTGTTGGACAGATGAGGTCCCCAAACATGCCCTTGAATAAGTGGTATTACTGCCCTTTTAAAAACACATTGGTATGTGCAAGAATGCCTACCCAAAGCAACAAATTCCCTACAGATCGCAAAGGACCAATCTCTTTGTCTTCAAGATGGTTCCCAGGATCTGCTATTTATTTCCCTGAATTTGACAAGATCAAAATTACTTCAAAAAGCAAACTCACTCATAGGCTGCAGGAGGCACAAGATTGGGAGCCATCCTTGGTTGCTCCTGCCCCCACTACACCCCACTGCCTTCTCCCCCACCTCTCAGACACTACCCCATCTCTCCATACCCACACTTCAACCCCAGGCCAGGTCAGGGCCTCCAGAGCCCAGCAGCAGACATGAAAACTCCCACCCACAATCATAGTTAAACACCACTGGTTTTGAAACGTTTAAAAAAATTATTCTTATATTGCGTTTGAAATTATTTGGCTAGGAAGTAACTTATTAAATTCAGCCTTGATGTTGAGGGCTCAGCAGTCATGCATACTCAGGAATCCTTGGG